CCGGTTGGCTTTGCAAATCGATGCTCGTTCGTAAATGTCCCTCGCGAAACGATGCAACCGCACCGGCCGAATCCAAGGGCCAACTACCTTTGAATTTCGAACGCGCGTCACTCTCGTTCCTCGCTCGTTTCCCGCTCGCTCTTCGTGTCCCAACGCTGCGTAAATTTCCCGCTACAGTCTAAACTTCCGCACCTCGGATCTCTGCTACGATCCGAGCACACTTCGTTTATTTATCAGGCGCGTGGCTCGTACAGACCAAAAAATCCTTGGATCGCGTTCGATTTCACCGCCTGGCGAACGTTCGTAATTTTTCACCCAGCATCCCCGGCTTTCTCCGACCGACGCAATTTCCTCGGCGCACAAAAATCATCTGGCTCCGTTACCTAAGAGTATCGCCCGATATTGGAAGACATCCGATAATCCGAGATTACTCGAGTCGCTACGAATATCGAGCTACAGCCATTCGATGTCCGTGCACGTTCTCCGCGCGGCACTCGGTTTGCCGCTGCTGGTGCTATCGTTTTAAATTACGCGCACACCGGTTTCCCATCTACTAACGATCTTGTTCGCGAGAAAAATCTCCGTGACGGAAACGTCGTTGCTGCTACTCGTCTCGTTCGATAACGTACTTTACCTTTCGCTACGCGATCGCGAATTTTAAACGGTGGAAATATCGACACGCGATCTTCCAACGAGCTCGATAACGTTACAGGCAGGACAGCGTGGATTCGAAATCGTCTGGTCGAAATCGGAATACGAATATCGGAGATCATCGGAGTCGGAGGCGAGGTTGAAAGAAAATACGCTGACCGTGGCTCGGTGTTGGCAAATTCCGCGTAAAATGAAAAATGTGGCGAAAATAATTGAAAGTTGTGATAAAACCGTTTACATGTTAAAAGCGCTACGTTCGTATCGATGCGCAAAAGTGCAAAATGTGGGTAATCGTCGTATAAAACGGCAGCTGCATTCCTATGAAATGTCGCGTTGTACCAAACCGAGTAGTAAATATTGAACTTTACTGTTTCTCGTATTAGACAAGAGAGACCGTGAATTCTGAAACGTTTTAGAGCGAAATTCGTGCCGTAGTTTGTTTCCAGGAAGCAGAAGTAAAAGTATTGGAATTCGCGTTCCTAATTAATAAAAGAAATCGTTGTAAAGATTTGGGGAAACAGCCTGTTCGTTCTTCGTACGTCGATATCGTCGGCGTCATCCTAGCCTCGATAAATCTATATTTTATGGCGCATAAATTAGTTCGTCGCTGTTCGTCAAACGTACAACATACACGTACACATATAATTAACGCGTTAACAATTTATCGTAAATGGAATCGGGGTCGCAGTCAGAGTGGGAGTCCGAGGTAAAAACGAGAGAGAAAAAAAAAAAAGAAACAGTCGGAATCGGCGCCGGGAATTTTGACTGCCGACTTCATCACAGATCTGTTTATAGAAATACGTCGTTTATAAAAATCGCGGTATGAACGAGAATTCGACGTCACCCGAGTTTCGACGACGCGTATCGCTCGATACGCTTAAACTGCGTTTCAATTTTAATTAGCAATTGGTGCGAGCAACCACTTGGATTAGTCGACGATTAATCCGACCAATATGGATATATCGACTGGAATATCGAAGACGACGGTTTCCGATTTCTCGTTCACTTGGCTTTTACACGGACGCGTGGAAATACGCGCAACGAGAAACTTTCCGGTGCTTCGGACGAACAAGTGGAAACGAAGAAACCACTTTCGCGCTACTTTCTTCCGTCTTGGAGTCTCGTTTTTTCGGCTCCGTTGTTTTCTCGTTCTCGTAGTACAACGCTTTCGGCTTAGCAAAGCTTAGCGGACGTATTCGAGAAGCGAGCAGATGTCTGTGTCGCGTCGAATTCTTTCCGTAGATTTACTCGCGTACGCCTCGACGCATGAAAAGATAAACGCGCGTTCTCTTGCGAGGACGAGTTCTCCGAGACGTTGGCAAGAACGATAGAAAGTTGTCGTTCCGTCGTCGAAGAGTTGCTCGTGTTTTATTAAAACGCCGGCCGAGAAGTTTGCCTGGAAATTTCATTTCTTGGTCGAAGTCGACGCCCGCCAAATATTTCTATTCGCCTGCGCTACACGTGCAGGTAATGTCGCGGATCCTACGTCCCGATATCTCGGAGCAACGTATAACGGAGTAAGCAAAGTGCCGTTCATAAAGAAGCCTTTGTTCCGAAGGTAAGACAAGACTCCGGACGACTTAAGCCAAGTGGAAGCCGCAGCTTGCGTCGCGGTTCGGATTAAATCTTAAATTATATCCGGACCATCTGCATAGCGCCGTATCCTAACGATCGTAATTCATAATCGCGATACGTCGGCACGAGCAGCTCGAACCGTTCCGCTTTCCGATAATCTCTTCCACCTTTGCAGCGAACGATTTCTATAGTTGAGAAGCAACGACGCGAGGGAAAGCGTGTATACGCGCGTATAGAAAGAACACGAGAAGAAAACGCGTAGGGTTCACCAAGCGGCACCGTCATCGAAACCTCGAGCTGATGCACGCGTTAATCCACCCTTTGCGCGTCGAAGATACGCGAGAACCAACGTACCCCGATCTACAACGCGTTGCATCACGTTACGTTACGCGCAACGCGTTGAAGCTTTAACGCGTTATGTATACGCGCGGTCACGCAAACGCGACGACGTAGGTACGAGAACAGCACCCAAAAAGCAAACTACCGAAGCGTCCTGTTTTGCGACCAAGTTTTCAGGACAGAAAAAGATAGTAAAAAAAAAAAAAAATACATAAAAATGCTCCGCTCCAACCTAACCCCAACCTAACCCCAGCAGCTTAAATCCAAAAATTGTATCATACAACGAAAAATGTAAAGCGCCGACACATAAGACAGCATGGCTACGTCGTACCGCCGCGTTTCGGTACCTTTGCCTAACATACCATTACAAAAATTCTTTAAAACTGCATTCTTGGACTCAATAAACTTTAAATCTCAAAAAAAAAAAAAAAAAAAAACGTAGGTACGAGAACGGAGAACGTGCGAGTCTGACAGGCCGGGAAATTAATACTTCGCCTGGTTTCAGGCATCGCGTATGCACGCACGCGTTGGCGTAATCGCCGACGTTCGACCATCGCGGACGACGTAGCCAATCGTAACAGTACGCTGCTCCGTTTATCGGCGCCGGTTGATTTTTAACGCGATGCTCGTGGTCGATCGGAGATGGCGTCGCGCGAATGCAAACGTATCGCGCACATACTCGGCGAATCTTTGCGGATATCTGGCGATGCAACAGCATCGAGATGTTCGAGAGTTTCGATTCGACGTTTTCCTACCCAGTGGTATTCGCCACGATAATAATACACGTATTTTCATAGCTGCTTTCGTACGTACGGGATTTCGGCTGCGTGTCTGTATAAACGCGGATGCACGTACTAACTGTGTGGGTGCACGCCAAGGCAATTTTCCGTGAGTAAACTCGACGCCTTCGTTCGGAGGTCTGTGACGCGCGTTATCTTACGGCTCTAGTCGGGCTACGAGTCTCGAGATGTTGGCGAGGATCTGACAGCGGCAGGATCTGTCTCTGTCGGGTCGAGGATATGGATTCTCTAGCTTCTTGCCGCCACGATGATTTCTAGAAAGCAAAATAGGAAGACGCAGGGCAGAGAGAGAAAAGAACGAGAGTTGGAGAAAGAGGGTCAAAGCGGAGAACACCGGTCTCCCTTGGAAATCGTCTAGAATTCGCTTGTAAACAGTGCAACTTTCGCCGCGATCGTTACAAACCACTCGTCGCGTTCCTTAGCGTCGAGTATCGGATGGGTGCTGCTGGCTTTCGATTGCTGCGAAAACGGAATGACGCCGGTTTCTCTCGCTTCACGGTCGGGCGGGAAAGCTCGCGCGTACGGGCAACCAGTACGGTTTTCTTCGGTAGAATGGAAACTAAATTCGGCGCGAGGGGGTGGGCGGGAGTTGGATTTAAGATCGACGACGAAGGGCGAAACGGGAAGAAGCTAGCACGGTTCGCGAGTTGGGCCGAGTTGGCTGTAGTGCGTAGTGTATACGCATCGCGGCCGTAGCGTGTCGGGGGGGAAACCAGTCACTCGTATAAAACCGTAGTCCGAGTCACGGCTC